AGAGGCATCATTGATGTATACTTTTTGTGCTTTTTCATTTTACTCCCCTTTATTGAATATATCAACTACAATTTCCACGAAGGGGGAAACGGCCAATTAAATGGGGCTATTATTCAACACACAATGGGGAAAGTCTGGCAAAGTTCATTTTCGCTGGTGAAAAAGGGTATTTTCGAATGCTACTGACATTTGCGAGTGAGTGCCAGAAACCATCTTCCAGATGCACATTGCTTGCTATATTTTTTCAACAACATAAGGTTTACTCATGATTCTAAGGAAAAAAAGACGTGGATTTTTTTATTGATCGTTACTCCTATGACGAGGTTTTGATAAAGGATAGCACGGAACATACCTGCTTTGTGTATTTATAGTATTCAAAGTGTGTATGGATTGTGGATCACAAATCAGTGGCAAATGAAGCATAGAATCGCAGTGGCAAAGTTACGTTGAAATCTCGCGTTACCCAGATGCAGGAAAAAGGCCACACACAGGTAACGGTTGGTTTATTGAGGAAGATCAATATAATTGAATAACATGTAGAAAGGAGTTTTACTGGTTCTCTGCTTCTCCACCAATAGACAGTTTGGATTCCTGACTACATACACCGTCTGTCTGGGTTTCACGATTTCTGATGTTTTTTTTGAACGATTTGCCTGGAGTTCGTTGTCCAGAAATTGTAACGCGTCACTTTTGGCTAACGCTATCCCCTAGGCTAGCTAGGATCACCACAGTATTTTTAACTTGTCTAGGAGAGCACACTGCTGTCCAGTAGAGCACGTAGAGCCTCGGTTCAACTCTCGCTTGGAAGACCGGTGCAGCTGGTTCGTACGGTCCAAAACACCAATTATTCCCCGTTTCTTTATGCCATATTTGATCAGTTGGCGTATGTGAACGAATTGTTTATTATTTATGTTTTACTGTGTACGGTGCAATCCTGTCGTCATACATACGGCTTTCTCGTCATTCCTTTCGCTCACACCAATTTCGATTGATATACACTTGTTTCAATCAACTGTTCCATTAATTGTGCCATCAAAGAACCACGGACACCGTATAACCGTTTCATGCATTCCAAGCCAAATATAACATTCCGAATTGTAACTGTGCTGTGCCTCTTTTATAACACTTGGGTTCCATTATGCCTGATAAACTTAATTTGGATCTCTTCCCCGAACCAGTCTCGTCAGACCAATGATGATTATCTTGATGTAGTGCATATGCCACATGTTTTGGTCACCCCCGGATCCTTCATTGCAACCCCACGAAAAAGTTGTGGATAGGAAAAGCGAGACAGCTCGCGTTGCATAGATTGGCGAAGTGTACACTATGCATTTGAAGCCGTAATTATTTCCGCGTCGTTCACTTCTTCCCGAACTTGTGTTCTCGGCTGAACGTCGCAGTTGAAGCTGACAGTTTTCGCTTTGGCCGGTCGGGATGCTTGATTTCTTCTTATGTTTCCCGCAAACCCCCAACCTGACGCGTGCAGGCGGATCAAATACTCTTTGGCTTCGTGTGTTTAATCAGTCCAGCAAAAACTCAGATCCGTGACTATAGAGCATTTTTACAACAAGTCACAAAGGTCAAAACAAAGCGATTTCACCAAATGCATGTGAAGGTGAGGGTGGTGAATTAATGTGTGTGTGTGTGTGTGTGTTGTCATCATACTTCACCAACTGACTGAAATTCGACGGACTAAAGTGCAATGAAATCGGTTGACCGTGTGATTTCGAACCAGCAAATCTTTCGGTTTTTCGCGCATCATGACTCATAACGGTGCCACTGGTATCAAATCACACTGGCCGTATACAATCGTATCAATCAGGCGACAACAACAAGGAACGGGGTCAAGTTCAAAAATGGAATGTTTTTGCGGGGTCAACGACGTTAGTGTCTGTCGGTTGAATAATAACAAACAAAATTTCGAGGAAGTTTATAGATTGAGAACGCGCGTTCAGAGACGATTAATTGTTCTCATTGATTCAGCTTTTAGTCTACACGGATCACTTAAGGAATTGACATGTTAAAAAGAAATACATATTCAGTAACTCAAAGGTGACATTGATCGATAGGGATGAAGAGAGATGTGGGGTGAGTAGTAATAAAATGTCTTTTTACTTCCTTTTTCTATTTTTTGAACATACAAATGTAGAGTCAACTATCAGGAAGGGGCTGTGGCCATACAAAGGCTGCCTGGGGAAAATACAGATATAGGGAAGACGGGCGGCGGTGAAGCGGTTTGAACCCGGAACACTCAGGTCACTATAGTTGGTGACCTAACACCACTTGGCCACCACCGCCCAAGTACGACGTGTTTCATCCCACTTTACTTATAGACCACCGAAACACTGCAATCAGGTTGTGATTTGTCATACGTGCGATTGACCTTCTGTCATGGTAATTGAATGAAAGTTTGACTTTCAAAACGTTATGGAAAATGGTTGCTTGGAGGCTCACCTGAACTGTTAGACAAGTTAAGGAAACGAGATGGTTAGGAAGATCAGCGTTAATCATCAGTCAAAATTCGAGTCAACCTCATTTGTTGTTGTTGTTGTTGTTGTTGTTGTTGTTGTTGTTGTTGTTGTTGTTGTTGGCCAAACCTGTAATCTGCGATACAGCAATCTCAAACTCATCACTTTGTGGTGGTCACTTTGTTATATCTCGTATAAGTCATCTTCATCTTCATCTTCGTGCTGAGAAAGGAGAGGGTGCCCCGTGTGAGCCTCTCCACCGCCGGTACCAATAACAACCCACTCAGTGGTCTGCAAGCTGCCATCGTCTCACCAAGTGCTCGTCGAGACGGCGTTTGAAACGCGCCTCGTTCTGCTCCTCCACCACCTCCGATGGGAGTTAATTCCAGAGGGAAGTCGCCCTCCGGGAAAGGCGATAGACCAGAGGAAGCCCCCTTGACTCAAGGTTCTGGAGGGTGAGCCTGTGACCGCGCGTCCGGTTGCAATCTCGCAGTGGAAACATAGCACGTAATTCCGGTCCCAGATCACCACGTAGAATCTTCCACAGGTAGATCAAATCCCCCCGGAGTCTCCTGTAGCTAACGGGGTAGAGTTCGAGTGTCTGGAGCCGACCTTCATAGCTGATCCCGTGAAGTCCCGCGACGAGGCGGGTGGCTTAGCGCTGTACCCGTTCCAAGTTAGCCATTTCGGAAAGCGTGTAGGGGTATACAGCGGGTCCACCGTATTCAAGCCGGGGGCGAATATGGGAGGCAAACAGCTTCTTGAAGGCTGTGAACGACAAGCCGTCAAACGACCGACGGATGGCACCTAGCATACTCCTTGCCGTAGAACATGCTCGGGCGGTGTTCATCTGTGTCTTCATGGATGCGGAGGTAATAACTCCCAGATCCCTCTCGGTGGTCGTCGAACGCAGTGGGACGTTGTTCATCAGGTAAGGAGTATTCGGTGTATTCCGTCCCAGGCGCATATGAGCGCATTTTGACGAGTTCACTGGAAGTTCCCAGACGACAGCCCAGCGATGCAACTTATCCAAATCCTCTTGGAGGGCACGGTGGTCCTCTGGTGTTCTCATGGCTCTCCACAGTTTCACGTCATCCGCGTAGAGGAGGCAAGATGAGCTCAACTGGGAGGGTAGGTCACTCACGAACAGGAGGAACAATACAGGTCCGAGAACATAACCCTGTGGCACTCCACTGTTGACAGGAAAGCTACACGACTCCGTCGGGGCAACTCTAACAGTAAACTTCCTTCCGACAAGGAAATCCTCAATCCATGCTACTAGAGGGTCCGTGACCCCGTAAGCCATAAGCTTCTCCAACAACCGTCCACGTGGCACCTTATCGAATGCCTTGCTGAAGTCAATGAAGATGACGTCCGTTTCATGGCCGAAGGCCTTGGTAGACGCCCACTGCTCCCAAGCAAGTAGTAGATTCGAGACGTAAGATCGCTACGGACGGAACCCGTGCTGCTCTGGACAGAGAAGATCATGTGGTAGGAGGTGGTGTGGAGTCGCTTGGCGAGTACAAGTTCCATCAGCTTGATGGCCACACAGGTGAGACTGACCGAGCGGTAGTTGACGGGGTCCCCACGGGCTCCTCCTTTGAAGAGGGGGCGTACAGNGGGGGGGGGGGAGGGTAACCTCCCCTCGGTCAATGATTGTTCGAACAAGACGGCTAAGGTAGGTGCAATGACCGGCACCAGCTCCTTCAGTACGATGGGATGCAGTCCATCCGGATCCGGTGACTGGTACGGTTTCAGAGCCGAAAGTGCATCACACACCTCGTCTACCGAGATGGCTTGCAAAAACAGGAGAGGCGCAGAGCACGACAGTGCGGGGGGGAGGGGTCGGTGATGTTTCGGTGGCGTAGACAGATGCATAGTGTTGCGCAAAAGCTTCCGCCTTGTCAACATCGGTTTCTGCCAGGGCACCGTTAAACTCCAGCGATGGTACTTTGGCCGTTTCACGCGTGCGGCGATGGAGGTATGCATAGAACCGCTTCGGTATAAAGGCCGCTTCAGATGCCAGAGCTTCCCCGTACACTCGCCGTTTTCTGGATTTCATTTCCGAGCACGCATTACGCAGCAACTTGTATTGGTCATAGTTAGATCCGTGATCGCGAAGCGCTTTCCACACCCTGTTTCGACGCTTAAGCATCTGACGTAACTCGCGGTCAAACTAGGGGGGGAGGGGGGCCATAGCGTGTGACCGAAAGCGTTTAGGAGGAGAGAAGGCTGCCACCAATTTAAGGGTGCCGTCCCGGAAGGTAGTCCAGGCAAGATCTACTCCCTCAGGGCAAGTAGTCACCCAGAGGAGGGACTGCGCTGCAATCCTCATGCCATCGTAGTCAGCTTTCCAGACATTGGGTCCGGAATGTGGTCGAGAGCGATACGGAGCTCCATGTCGCCAATGCACCCACAGGGTCGAGTGATCGCTCGAACCGAGTGGCGGGAGGNGAAGGGATAGCACCAGATCCAGGACTGACTGGGCGGAGTCGTTGATCCTGGTGGGCTCGCGGGAATGCTGATGCAGGGTCAACTGGTTCGATACTTCGAGGAGGTCCCTGGAGAATTGTCCGCTCCCGGTAGGCAGCGGTTTTCGTCCCAATCGATTAGGGGCACATTGAAATCACCCAAAATCAAACAGTGGCCGTCGCCAGCCCATCGCCGCATATCGTCCAGGATGGCCACCGGGGCTGTCGCTGGTGGTCTGTAGCAGACCCCTATCGTCGTGTAGCCGTTGCAACACACTTTGGTTTTGCACCACAGCGCTTCTCCCTGACCGTCAGGATCCGCGTAACTGTAGAGGTGAGTAACCGGTATACTTTCGCGAATAAACAGCATGACGCCCCCACCCATCCTTGGTTGAGCACGGTCCGAACGGAATGACGCATACCCCGGGAGCGAGACCTCAGATTCAAGAACGTCGGGGGCAAGCCAGGTTTCGGTGACGGCGATGGCCACCGGGAAGTGCTCCACGACAAACGCCTCCAACTCGTCTCGTTTGTTCAAAACACTACGTACAATGGCAGACGCTATGCACTCGCGGCTACGCCTGTCGATGGCAGCCGATGATACGTTCCTCCAGTTTACATCGGAGGAGTCTCTCTGTTTGGTATTGCAAGAGGGTTCCACCGGAAATGTGGGCGCCTCCTCTGGACCCGAAAATCCCGGATGAAGAGATCTTGTTCACCACTTGCTCGGCGCTCATGGATCTCGGCTAATGCCTGCTTCAGCTTCTGCCGTTCGTCCGCGTCGAGGTCTCGTAGTAGCCTGACGGGCTCCCCTTTCAGGCAGAAGGCACGCTGGAATACAGACTTGGTTTGCTCCATCGATCCGAGGACGACTTCCAGTGGACGAGGGGCGCCGCCCTCTCGTTTGGCTCCTAGTCTGAAAGCGGCCTTCGCTCGTATCGCCTGGGATTGTGTTTCCTCGCCAGGGACGAAGAGTCTGTCCAGGACTCCTCGAAGCAAGGATATGTCTGCGTTAAGCCGGGCTTGCGCCGAGGGTTCCGTGGACTCCGGCATATTGATAGACAGGAAGCATTGCCGTCTTGAGGGGCGTTCCCGTCGCAGGTCTCCTGCAACGGCCGGTCGGGGGACTGGCCTGGGGTTGGGGGGCCCTCAGGATGCCGGCTGGGTCAAAGGGCGTTCGGTGACGCTGGTCACAGCACTGTTGGGGGAATGCGAGGCAGCAGCAACTCGGGCGTACGATCTGCTGTTGGCGTTGGGCAACGAAACTGGTGGCTCCGGCAGTGTCTGAATCGCCGCAGGGGATCCAGACTCAATCACTGCCGCTGCGCGGCTCTCACTCGAGGTTGGTCGCACGTTGTTGATTGCACGCCTGCGTCTCGGTCGTCTCTGCTCATCGGCGGTATCTGTCGGCGGCGCCTCCGCTGATGCGGACTGCTGCGCACACTCCACCAGCCCACTTGCGCTCGGCAAGGGCAGCACTCCTCTGCCTACACTCGATGTATTGAATGTTGGGAGACAATCGTCACATACAAACTTCAAATTTGGGAAGTCACACGACTGGAGGGCTGTATACATGTCTGGCGGCACGCTGGTACATGTAACATGACGCCAACATTGACACATGTCACATAATAGGGCCTTCACATGAGGGCCGACGATCCTCTTTCACTTTGAGCACGGAGAGTTTTTCTTCGTGTCGTTGATGCACATAACTACACAGTAAATCAACAGGAGGAAGTACACAAGACACAGAAATATATTTTCCACGATAACGGTGAACTCAACTTGGTGTAGCGCAGGTCAAGGTCAGTTCTTCCAATAAGTAGGCAAGTAGTGAATTAAGCAGTAATTATATTTGCAGTATGTAAACGCAAACGTAGTCGGTCCGTAAGCCGATGAGCAAGCAGTGCGTCAACACGCAGACAGGCAGGCACAGAACTGGCGCAAGTCTTACCAAAAGGAGTGTCGTCACGCTGGGCAGTCAACGAACCAATCAATGAGGAGAGATCACTACTGACCTCTGATTCGATGAGGCTGATCGACCTTGTAACAGGGTAAGTCCGCATGGCGTGCGTCAGTGCGTGTGGTGGCAGGCCGCAACGGTTGAACACGTGATGCGCGGTAAACGTTTCACTCGACCGCATGCCAGTTGATTATCCATACTAGTGATCATGTTACTTAACTGCAGATTACACAGAATCCTTTAGAATTCACGCCCGTTATATTACGCACATTGAGCCTTTTTCGCGAATGTGAAATCGGCGAAGACCAGGCCAGGTTTCATGCATGGCATGGTTGTATCAGCTGCTAGAACACTATCACATACGTAGAAGACGAACTATCGACGCGGTTTTGGACATCAGAACGGCCTTAGACTCCGCCGATCGCCCTGCACTGTTGAACTGTTTGCGGGGATATGGAGTATCCGAGACATTCGTCGGTGATTCGGAACACGCTGAATCGTTTGGGAATTGCTGTTTCTTGTTGCACCTTCAAAGTACAAGATGTAGTTGAAAGATTGCAGAAACTTGTTCCTGCACGTTCGTTGGGTAACGACCCATTGGAAGTAGTCAAAAG